CGAGAAATTAAGCCTATATAGATATCGGATTTAAAAAAAACACTCGGTCCGAAACCGGCTAAAATTAAACTCAGTGCTCGGCTGTGAACAGTTACGCCGGATATTCTATTAATTAAATGAGGGTCTGAATTTTCTGATGTACGCGGGCGGGCGGGCGAGTTTGAAACTTCGGTAAAAGCCTCGGTCGACGTTCCTGCGGGAAATCCATCCGTGTCGTCAGCCGAGTCGAGTTCGAGGGACTTTCGAGGTGCAACGAACCCGACCCGATCACTTCGGACGCCGGCGACATATATATATCACAAAGTAGAAAAACAGACGACCGATTTCGACAAGCATTTGCCGTCGATGGCGAACTAAACTGGAAGTAGACACGCCAGAGCGTAGAGCGGCAGTAAATTTCGATCGCCCGACGCGGTGTGATTTGGTCGAATTTGAATATGTAATGATACACAGGCTGATGATGGTTCGAATTAAGGGGTGTACCGCTTGTCACGAGAGGATATAAGTTCAGGCCGAGCGAATACAATGAATCAGATCGTTCGTTTTATGTTTTTTTTTTTTTTTTTTTTTTTCCCTTTCTTTCGCGGAGACGGCGAAGCTTGAAAGCGGTACGGCAAATTGCGCGCTAATTGGATAATGCACACATACGGCCGATGGTGGGCGCGGCGGAGACCGCAAAAATTAAATGAGATTGTTGTCGTGAGGAAAGTTTAATTGGAAACTGTGCCATCCGCATGCACGCGAGTCATTTCGCCGCGGCGCGTCGAAATTATTTCGAATAAACAGAACGCCTGTCGGCCGCGGTACACTCGGGAGACCGCGCTTCGGGTTCGAAAAGTTCGAAACTTCATTAGAATCAAGCGCTGTTCTCGCCGGTGAATCTACACCGCTAAAAGAGAGAGAGGGAGGGGGGGGGGAAGGAGGAGAGAGAGAGACTCATGCAACTCCCCGACGACGGTGCACTGAACTCTCCCTCGATTGTTCTGCGAAGCGTTGACGTATCTTGAAGTGGAAAAAGGGGACGCATCGCACAGGGAATGCACGAGGGGCGTGAAATGGCCTCATTTCGCAGCCGGAGCCGCCGATGTGGTATATTGCTTCTTGCCCGCGGATGTTAGATACGCGCGTTCTGCGAGGCGGAAACCACCTGCAACTTTTGCCGGCTGTCGGGACGCTTTCTGACATCGCGAGGAGTCTCTTCTCCGGGGCCGCGTGCTGCAGCGAACGATCAATTAACTGCGCCGCGCTTCTCGTCTCGCTGCGATACGTTTCGCGATATTTTCATCCTACATTTTTCACGGCAGAGAAGAGAGGAGCGCTATGACGCTCTTGCGCGCGGTGTAAAGAATACAATTGACGTAAAATTAAATTATTAGATTCGCATGCTTTACTTTTACGGACAAATATATATTGGACGGCATACTTTCGCGAATTCACAGAATTTTATTGATTATAAATTTTTACGCGGTGGCGAGAAATACCCGTGGCCCAGTTTGAAGATGAATTTGCCACACATTAACCGTATGAAGTCAACGAGATATTCGTATAAATTATCTGTTTCTCAGAGCTTATTCAAATTAAATCGATACGTGGAACGAGGTGAGTGTTTCAGAAAAATGACTCTCACGGCGGATGTTCTAGAGGTGTGTAGGGCACTACTGCAGAGAAAGCGAAGACTAGAATAGTAGTCTATAAAGCATTCATGCGCGTTCAAGTCTTGGAATAGATAGCATGCTATCATCGGATATTCGAATTCTTCGTTATAACGCGATTTATACGCAGTTTCGCTGCATAGCGCGTCACCTTCTCGCCTTTAGCCGTCGCGAATTTAATTCCGATCATAAATCATGCGCCTGTTTCCTCATTAACACATCGGATCATATTTTATTTCGCAAAGTATTGAAGAATTTCGCAGTCGCGCGGGACGCAACGCGGATGCGAGGCAAAATTGCATTTCCTTCAATCTCCCCGATCCGGATCTCTCTATAAACAAATCGGATTTCGGCTTTCGAGCTTTTCCGCCGATGGTTGGGATATGAATAAAAGACGGTACACGCTTTTACTTTGAGCATCGGTAAATACGCGTCCCGCTCGAGTGTCTCCGTACGCAAAATCCTCTCGCGTCTCTAGTGCTGCGCGCTGGATGCCACGGTGACACGCGTGAAAACAGCTATCCTGCAATTTCCTGTGACGTGCCGACACGTGCTGCACGGATCTTCGTTTTTCCTCATTTTCTCGGCGACGTTCTACGCGACGTGCATTATGTACTTCAATGCGAGTGTGAAATGCTCCCTTTCTTCTTCTCCTCCTCGTCTCGTGCCTATCTATTTTCGATTCCGCGCAGGACTCGGTCTGCGTTTTTCCCTAAGGTTACGACGATGCGGTTTCCGCGGAAAATCCGCGAGCGTGACGACGAGAGGGTGGCCGTCCTCTCTCTCTCTC